CGAAGTTAATTTGTTCCTTTTATTCTATGAGAATAAAGGTGATATCTTGGCCACTTGATGATTTGGTTTGACTTATGTGTCAGGCATGGTCAGAATGAAGTTGATGTGTTCAACTAAATTCTATGTCAAACAAATCGGAGATTGAGAAACAAGTGTTGGGCAATAAGTATTGTCAACATGATATCTAGAACAGAGGATTATACGATCCCTTATCTGATGTACGAGTTACTGATCAGAGTTGACAGCGACGTGTAAGAGCTACGATTGCAAATCGAAACCTGAAGTCATATGTGAGATATAGTTACTAGACTTATCCAAGTGGGAGACTGTTGGATTAGTGTCTAACCCGTAACTATATTTGGTATGTACTTGACCCAGTTGTGCATGGTCCTTTTGGGTTGCATTCACCAAAGCAACTTGACAAGGCAATTTAAGGAGAGAGAGAATATTATGGTTTATTAATATATTATAAGAATAATATATTAAAGGAGAAATCATATTTATTTAATTAGTATTGGTCATAAATTAATTAGGAATTAATTTGGTGACTAAAAGAGATTAATTAAATAAAGGGGAATAAACTGTCAAATGTATGATAGTTAAGTTTTGGGCTATGGAAACCTAATGGACTAAACGGGGAACGAAATTATGATGGGGATCCATCATATTTTCATCTAAGGCCTTATTCCAGAAGGTTCCTTGGGCTGCTTGGTGGGTAAGTTGTCCATTAGGGTTTAGACTGAAACCCTAACAACCTACAATATAAATATGACCCCTAGGCTATGAAAATTGGCTACACTTGATTCCAAGAGAATCCTAGGGCCAATTTTAGCATCTCTCACCCTCTCTCATATTGCCTTCTTGCTTGTGGTATTTGTAAGCCATTAGAGGAGTTACAATTGTGACTCTATGTAAAGCCCTGTTTATTTATTAAATAAATAAATAAAATAATAAGTGAATAGAAGCCCTAAAATAAATAATTATATACCAAATGATGGTCTCGTAGAGCTAATTGTCACACTTTAAGAGATTAGGGATTAAAAGTGTAATTTTCAGACTCAACTTATAATTATTTATGAAGACAGGGGCTGATGGGTAACAAATAGGACTCAATATGAAAGGAACTATGGAAATAAGGGATAAAATGTAAATTATGGGTTATATCGTAAAGATTTATGGAATCAGGGGTTAAAAAGGGTAAATCCTGAATTAGTTTTGAAAATATTTCCAAGGCGGAGGGCTTTTGAGTAAACATTGTACATAAATTGTAAGGGATTATGATTATGAGGGTTTACATGGTAAATATCGGTCCTAATTTGAAAAAAATGAGGAAAGGAGGGACTAATGTTGTTAATATGGATGGAAGTTTGTTAGGAGCGGGATATATGAACCCACATCCCCGATTGCCCTAACCCTAATGAACGATGCAGCCACTATTCTCTCTAACCATAACCTCCAGCCGCCACTCAAGTTCATCAATCGCCACCACCGGTTCCTCTCTTGTGTTCCGAATAGATAGAGCTCCGACTACCACCGCATGTTGCCTCGACATCAAGATGTCTTCACACCTTGCTGTCGGACGTCCTCCATTCTCCTCTTCTCCTTCTTCTACCGCCATCGAAGGTGGAAGTCACCCAGTCGCCGCTACGCTGCCAAGCCGTTGCTGTAGTCGCTGCTGCTTGCGTAGTCGTCGATGAAGCCGGAGTCGACCACCACAGCCCTGTTGCCGGTGACACCGTGAACGACCAAGGTTGTTGCTGCTGCCGCTCGTCGTGCGCCACCTGGCGGGAGACCGTCTCCAGATTTGTTGCGTGCTGGGTTGTTGGCCGGCAACTGAGAAGAACCAACATGGCGGCTAGTCATGGTGGCTATCGTTATTATCACCACTACGCCGTTCGTTTCTGCCGCCTCCTCGTGTCGCCACCGCAACCAAGAGGGTGGTTGGGTTCTTTTTGCATTTAGAGCTCGTGTATGTGGTTGTATTCCCGCTGTTGATGTGCTCCCGGTCGTATGTGTGTTGTGTGTGGTTCATCTTGGCCGGGAATGGAAAAGAATGCCCACCATGGCCGCCAGCCATGGTGGCTGCCACCTTCTGCCACCACAGGCCACCATAAGGTGGTTGTGTGTGTTTATTTTGTTTAGTGTAGGTATTATTTTGAGCTTCAACATTGTAAATTGTAAGTTACAGCTTGTAATAATAAAAGAAATTGAAAACCACCACCTTGGGGTGGTGGCTGCCGCCACCGGCCGCTGTGTTGGGTGGCGGTGTGCTTCCATGGTGTTTGGACTCGTTTGGATGATTGGACAAGGGACTAAAACCCTAATGGGCCCAATAAGACTTAATGGACCCTAATAAAACCCTAATGGGCTTAATGACATTCTAGTGGGTCTAGTAGGCCCAATAAAGCCCTAATTGATCTAGAAGCCCAACAAGTTAATAAATGAGTTAGTCTTTGGGTTGGAAAACACTAATGCCAATTAAACCCTAATTTTGAGAATTAATCGGGATGCACACGAGAATTATTTAATAACTTGAGATATTAAATAATAAACTTTGGCAAAGATTAATCTAAGCCATAATGGACTTAATGGATTAAGTCCTTAATGGGTTAAGTAGGAAACCTAACCCTAATTGTCATTTTATGTGAAACCCTAATCCCATTTGGGTTTATTGTTGGGCCTTTCTTTTGGTCCTTGAGGGTTGGGTAATTAATGGGCCATCCAAAGTCAAGCCAATGAACTAGAATAATATAATGGGCCTGGGGTAAGGCCCATGTAAGGGGCTTGGGCCCAATTTGGAAGATTAGGCCATAGATGGGCCATAGTGTGGGCCTTAATGATTATATGGTGTTGGGCCTTAGAATGAGACCATGTGTAGGCCTAGGCCAAATTTGGAAAATTAGGCCATGTGTTGGGCTTTGATTCCTAATTGACTTTGGGCCTACAGATTGGGCCTTAGGCTTGAATAAGCCAAGCGAGGGGTAATGTAGTAACTACCCAAATAATGTACATATGGTTATGTATTGGGACCCAATTATTAATTGGGTGTTATTTTGGTGTTGATCGTTCGAGAATCTGTCAGCCAGCAGCTGGAGTCGAGTCTGCGGGACTTCAGCAAGTGTGGGATTGTGTCTTCGGGACTTCAACAGTGTGAGGTGAGTTACCTTCCAGTAGCGGTGGGTCTACGACCACAATGTCGGCCCACAAGTAGGAGTTGTATGTTAGATGATTATCTTTGTGATATAATCTAGGTTTGCTACCACCTGATATGTTATATGCTGGCATGATATGTTATATGTGATAGTAGTAGAGTTCGGTTGTTAGGACCGAAGGGTAGGTCAGACACCCCAGATATGTATGACAGCATGTGATGATATGTTTATATGTTGGCATGATATGTTATATGTGATAGTGGTAGTAGGAGGGGAATAGTCCCCAGGTTCGGTTGTTAGGACCGAAGGGTAGTTCGGACACCCCAGGTATGTTTGATAGTATGTTTGTGTTATGATATTTGTGATAGTAGCTGAGTGTGGGCAAGGCCCGTATCTCAGAGATAGTGGAGTGTGGGCGAGGCCCGTACCTCCATTAGTGTGGGCGAGGCTCGTATCTCCTAGCTGTTTAGTATATGATTGTATATACTTGTATGTTATGGTTTAGTAGCTGAGTGTGGGCACGGCCCGTATCTCAGAGATAATGGAGTGAGGGCGAGGCCGGTATCTCCCAACTAGCGGAGTGTGGGCGAGGCCCGTACCTCCATAAGTGTGGGCGAGGCCCGTATCTCCTAGTTGTTCATTATATGATTGTATGGTATGTGGTATGATGGGGGAACTCACTAAGCTTCGTGCTTACGGTTTTGATACCTTGGCAACCATCTTGTTTCCTTCCACATATCACAGACTCTCAATGTGAGGAAGACCCGAAACGGTGTAACCCAATAATCCAACCAAAGTTTTATTTAATCTTTATACCTTACTAAGCTTTATGGGCAAAAATAACATAGTCCGGATTTCATGTCCTTAAGACTATATGGCCAAGAATCAGAATCGACGCATCCTTAAGAACCCGTCACGGCGAATCAACTTTCGCTGAAACAGTGAGCCCACCTGAAGGGGATCAGCTCCTATGCTTTCACTTTTTCGAGAGCCACAAGTATCATATCACACAGTTCTTCATTCACCATATTTGACTTGAAGTGGCTTTTGATTTGATTGAACTTTGATTTGTACTTCGTTTTGAATTTGGATTCTTCAATCTTCATTTTTAGAATTTCTTTAGATTTCTTCGTTTTGGCATTTGAAATTCTGATTAGGGTACTAGATATGACAGTTGTACCCTTCCTTCTTTCTTGACTGTGTGGGTCTGATACTTAAGCTCTCTGTTACCGCGCGGGGTAACGCGTGTCAACAAATAGGTCCGTATTCTGTGGGTTCAGAGTTGCCGATAAAGATTATTTTTAAACATTCAAAAGCAAATCATCCTAAAGCTGTTATTACCGCCCAAAAAACGTTTCAATATAAATTTTTTTTTTATTATCTAAGGCTAGGGTCTCGAATTACGGTGTTTGGGTCCCCTAGTTATGACAGCTGATTCTACGCTTCCGGTAACTACCCGGTCGCCTCGGAATTCTTTCGTTTCATGGTGAAATTGTATGTAAAGAGTGTCATCATCTCGTACATTTTTTTTTGAAAAAGAAAATGAAATAAATTTTTTTTTGAAGATAAGAAAATACATGCATGAGTATGAGTGAACCTAATATACAAGTCTACCCCTCCCCAAGCTTAAAGATAAGCATCATCCCCGATGCCTGGAGAGGGTGGAACAACCTAAAACGGAGGTGGAGGAGGAGGATAGTATTTGGGGTTTCAGGTCCAAGCCCAGAAGTCCTCCTCATGTTTGCATTGACGTTCTTGATCCTGAGCGTACTGGGTGGTGAAGGTGGATAAATTATGGGTCAGACTGGTAATATCCTGCTGGTAGGTGTCGAGGCGGGTATGGACTGATTAGAATTCGTCCATATACTGTTGATGATAAGGCGGGGGTGCAGCAAAATGGGATGAGCTGCCACCACCGGTGGGAGAAGCATGGTGAGGCTCCTCCTCTTCTTCATCATCATCACCATCTTCCTCGTTTTCTTCACTTTGCTCATCTACCTCGGTGGAGTATGAGTGGGGGAAGATGTATGGAATGATTTGCCAATCGGCCATGTGAATGGGATTTCGGAAATCAAGAATGCCTTTATTTTCTAGTGTGATGAGGAGCTTTGGATCATGATTTTGACCCACGGTCCAATGGTGTGTGCCATCGCCTGCCGAACAGAAGAGTCGCATGGACTCAAGGACAGTAGTGGTGATATAAGGCTCACCTGGCAGTGGCTAATGGGGACCGGGGTATGGGGCTCGGATGTGGGCGCTCTTGGCGAGCATGCTGGCAATACCCCCGCAAACAATCTTTCCCAATTGGGATGTGCTAAGGCGGATGAGCTTGTAGCACAGAAACCGACCATAATAAGGAATGAGGTTATTCTCAGGATGGGTCATTACATAGAGGATTTTGAGTTCCAGCGCACTGATGGTGCTTCGCTCCTCTCTAGGGGCGACGAGCGAAGCAATGATTCTATGGGCTACCTTAATCACAGGATGGATAAGTGATGAGGCTTTAGCAGCGCTAGAGACATATGGGTGTAATTGGGTGAGCTGGGTCCACCAAGTCATGTCAAAGTATCCTTGGATTGGGTTAGTGGGGCCAAATGTGTTTTCCGTTGGGGCCCCCACAATGGCACTGATTTGATCCAAGGAGATCTCATAGTCTTGATTCATTAGATGGAAGTAGAGGATCCCATGGTCTAAATAAACTGAGGATAAAAACTCAGCTGTTGGGACTTTATAGCTCAATTCATGGACCCTCAACAAGTTGTGCCACCCTATGTTGCGAAACAGGGTTTTGACTTGATTGTAAACATGCAACTCTTTTAGGGATGGAACATGCGCGAATTTTTGGATGGTATGACCCCGTTTAAGGAATGAATCAAGTTTGCCCTGTTGAACTGGGCCAAGACATACGACACCACAATGAGACGGGTCAGTTGGGGGTGTTGGGGACCTAGATGGAGGTGATGGAGATCTGGATGGAGGTGATGGAGTCCTAGGCTTCCGACGGTGGGCGGATGATTTGGTTTGTCTTTGTCTTTGGGAAGATGTAGCTTCCATAGTCAAGTTTGGGACAAATTAAAAGTCAATAGGTCAAAATGTCAAAAGAAAATTGTTGAAGGGTCCAGTCAACTTCGAATTTGGCCACCAAAATTTCGCGGGAAATTTGGTTTTCAAAGATGTCCTACTAAGAATCAAGTCCAAATAGACCACAATTTAAAGTAATTTGATTCAAGAACACAAAATCCAAAAGCTAAGAGTTGGGAGGAATTTACTGAATCGTGTGTAGGATTGTGTTGTTCTTGATGGAAAAGATCTTCCTTAACCTCCCCAAGCTTGCCCTCTTTAAGATTAAGACACTAAAACACCAAAACCACATGAGATTTTCGGATCTAGGGTTTGTCAAAAACCCTCAAATCCACCATTAAAATGCAAGAAAATGGTGTTTAAGATGGAGAAGATGAAGTGTAGATGATGAAAATCAAACCTTTTTGTAGATTAAAGTCAAAATCTTGAAGAAATTGAAAGGTATTTGATGAAAATCGGACCTAAGGTTTTTGTTGGGAGAGAGGGGCTGTTAGGAAGTGAAAGTGGGGGTAAATGAGGTCAAGTCCCGATTTTTTTTCTTTAAAAAGGGCCTGAACTGCTACGCGAACACGATCCGTGTCCCCCCAAGCCAAATTGACACGCCCCGTGTTGGGGGGTTTATGCTGAGTTATGGACGAACACGACCCATGTTGGGTCAAGGCCAAAACCAACACGACCCGTGTTGCTCTCTGGAAGAATTTGAGACTTTTTTGCATGAACACGACCCGTGTTGGGTCAAGGCCAAAACCAACACGACCCGTGTTGCTCTCTGGAAGAATTTGGGACTTTTTTTGCATGAACACGACCCGTGTTTCATTAAGGCTAAGAGGGACACAACCCGTGTTGGTCCCTGGATGCTAATCCTCACTTTTTGAACTTGAAATTTTTTCTCTCTTTGAAATGAAATACTTTTGCATTCCTAGGTCCGTTTGGTGATTTTAAATCGTGATTAAATGCATTTCGAACATTGAAAACCAAAAACTCAAAGAAATGGAAATTGTTTTTAAATAAAAGACAGAAATACCCCCGGGTTGCCTCCAGGTTATCCGCCCTTGTTTCAAGTCGTTGGCTCGACTTTGCCCCCGCATATGCTTCAGTCTAAGTATGTGGGCCTCTCCAACACATCAATCTTCTTGCCACCTCCTTCAACGGAACCTTCAACCTTCCTTTGGCTTTCTTTTTGCGCATAAACCAAAAAGGACTTAACCCTTTAATATCAGAGATTGTCCACTCAATCCCTTTTTGGTATTTGTTCAGCATGGTTATCAACTCACTCTCTTCCTTCTTCGATAGTTTATTTGAGTTGATGACCGGTTGAGTGCTCTCCTTCTCGACATGTATTTGCTTTTGGAGCCCGGTGGAGTTTTAGCTCCCGAATCTTGTGCTTGTTCCACCGGTGGAAGGAATTTGGCTTTGGTGGTAAGTGGCTCTACTTCTCTTCCATCAATCCACATGTGCTTATCATCCTTGAATTTCAAAATCTCCAACACCTCCTCGTTTGTACCGCACTCCTTTGCAAGTTCTTCGACTTTGTACCTGTCTAACTTTTTGTGACAAGACTAACTCCATAAAATCATTGTTAGTCGAGTTTAAGCTCTTTTCAGCCAATGGCAGGATCATATTCACAAAATTAACAGATTGAACATCAGAATGAACCTTTTTTTCTTCATGAACATTGAAGTTGATAACTTCACCATCAAATTCCATACTTAAAGTTCCGTTGTAGACATCAATTTTTGTTTTAGAAGTTTTAAGAAAAGGTCTACCCAAAAGTATGGAACTTGAACTTGGAGAGTCATCATCTCCCATATCTAAGACGTAAAAATCAGCTAGGAAGATAAATTCATCGACTTGCACTAACACATCCTCTAGTACACCTTTTGGGTGTACCAAAGACCGGTCGGCAAGTTGGATGATCACACCAGTTTTGCTCAATGTTCCTACACCAATTGATTTGAAAAGAGAATATGGTAGGACATTTACGGATGCACCTAGATCGAGCATCGCTCGAGGTACATGAAGATTCCCCAATTTGCAAGGTACGGTAAAAACACCGGGATCCTTACACTTCGGGGGCATCCTCTTTTGCAAAACCGCAGATACATGCTCCCCAACTGTTACCACTTGATTTCCTTTTAATTTCTTTTTAGATACACAAAGATCCTTAAGGAACCTTTCATATCTAGGTACCTGCTTGATGGCCTCGAGGAGTGGAATGTTGATTTGAACTCTCTTGAACATTTGCATGATCTCACTCTCCTCCCGTTCTTTCTTCGTGCTCCTTAATCTTTCGGGAAATGGAGCAGGTATGGCTTTAGACTCAGTGATGAAGGGCTTCTTTTTGACTGTTTTCTCTTCCTTCTTCTCTTCTTTGGTTGCTTCTTCGATAACTATTTCTTCCTCCTTTTGATCAACCAGTACTTTTGGACCATCATAGCTCTTTCCGCCTCTCAATGTGATGGCACACACATTGTGCCTTGGGTTTGTTTCAGTTTGTGCAGGTAACTTTCCTTGAGATTGTAATTTGCTTATAGAAGTGGCAAGCTGTGAGACTTGTTTCTCTAAGTTCTTTATGCTTGCTTTTGTCTCTTGTTGGAAAGCTTGTGTACTAGTTCCCAAACTCTTCACTATGTCCTCTAAGGACATACTTGATGAACCCGATTGTTGAGGAGGGTGTTGTGGATACCTTGGTTGGAAGTTTTGTGGTGGAAAAGGTGGTCTTTGTTGGTATTGATGTGGTTGACTTGGTTGATAATTTGCATGTTGATGTCCTCCCCAACCTTGATTGTTACTCCATCTTTGATCACCCCGTGGCTGCTCATATCCCCTTAGATTAGACCCAAGAAAACCTCCCATGGATTTTGCTTCTTCATAATATTCCTCTTGAAGCTGAGGGCACATGTCGGTTGGATGCCCCACTTGAGTACAAATACCGCATGGGCGGGGTGTGGGCTGCACACCTTTGTCTTTGGCCAACATGATGACCACTTTTGTGAGCTCGGACAATTGAGCTTCAATCTGGAGAGTTTGAACTTCTTTTACACCCCGGGGTGCATCCGTGTACCATTCTTCATCATGGCTTGAATGTTTGGAATCTTCAGCCATGTTCTTGATTAGATTGCGGATTTCAGTAGGAGTCTTGTCGGGTAAAGATCTGCCACTGGAGGCATTAAGAAGCCTTCTTTCCATTGGAGTCATTCCTTCAATGAAATATTGGAGGAGCTGGTATTCCATAATTCCATGCTTTGGGCATCGAGCACAAAGTTTCTTGAATCGATCCCAATATGTGTGAAAAGCTTCTCTCTTGTGCTGCTTGCTTCCAATGATTTCCCTCCGTAGGGCGGAAGCTTTCATCTCAGGAAAATACTTGTCCAAGAACAATCTCGCAAGATCTACCCAAGTAGTTACCGTCCCCAGTGGGAGGTCATAAAGCCAATCTTTGGCCGCGTCTTGCACCGCAAAGAGGAATGCCCTAATCTTGATTTGGTCGTCCGTGACATTATGTGGTTTCATACCCACACATACTACATGGAACTCGGTGAGGATCTTCATTCTCCAAACCTCTAAAAGTTGGGAGTAAGTGGATAAGCCCGGATTTTAGTTCCAAATTGGTGGCAGCTAGGTATGTGATACAAAGAGTGTAACACCGTAAATTTCAAAACAAATTTTTGAATTTTTTTTTATAAAACATAATTCACTTAATATTCATAAAACAACCATGTTTGAAATTCAATCCAAGTAATACAAAAATCCCAAGATCTCAAAATCATAAAATCCCATGCGTGTGTACTAATCAAGCCGGCGCCTTCCCACGGTCGTCACTAGTACCTGAAACAATAACACCAAACACTGTAAGCACAAAGCTTAGTGAGTTCCCCAAAATACCACATACAACACATATTAGCCACTCGAGGCTATAACTCTGTGGGTCCGTGCACCCAAACTCTGTGAACCCTCAGGTTCTAACTCTGTAAACATGCACAACATAAATCACAAAGAATAATGCAGCGCAACACATAACACACACACACACACACACACATATATATATATATATATAGCATACAAGCACTGTATCACATAACTCTAGTTAC